TCTTTACCTTTGAAGTATAGTATTTTTTAGTGTGCTGTAGTTTAGTACAACTTTTAGTGTGTTGGTTGTGATTCATACTATGTATTAATACTTGTATATACTCGAAACATATGCTTTTTTTGGAGTAATGGATTGCACAGACTCTCTCTTTTTTGTTTCATTTTATTGTTGCAACATGTTTAATTCTTATGTAGTGGTGATGATGTGGGAGTGTGAGGAGCTGTATATAGTCCTTATTTATTTTAAATATTGTCCTCATTCATTTCTGTAGTCTTTGTATGTTGCACATTGTCCTTATTTATTTTGGTAATAACCATGGTTTCTTACTGATCCTGTGACTCAATTATTTTAATGCATGTTATATATTAGTGCATATTTCCCACTAAACATATATTATAAAACTCTATTAATATACGTCTTCAACATATTAAACATGTTTTTTGGATATAAGAAACACAATTAATTCAAATAGACTCATGAATTCTGTGAGTTTTTATGAGCAAAAATTTATAATTTATATAGTGCAGAATATCAAAAACAAGGATGTAGTTGTCAAAATATAAAATCAAATGAAAGGAAAATTTTTTGACTAAATACAAATGGCTGGAGAAGATGATTTAACTGGTTGAAATCTGAATAACTAAATACTGAAAATTTATAAAACATCTTAAATTGTTTAACCCTTTCAATCCCAATTTATTTGTTTCAACTGACTTGATTTTTTTTAGCCTTCTTGGTAATTATCACAAATGATCACAAATCACACTGAACTTGACAGTCTGTCACTAAGCCTCTATAAGAAGATGCGCGCAACAATTTTGTAATGGGGATGTTAAAAATGATGCCTGCTACCAGTGGGACATCAACTATGTAGTAAATTAATGCGTTTAATTCTCTCTAGGTTTCTTTAAACATCTACTGGGACTTAACCCATTGGGACTGAAAGGGTTAAGGGAGAGACTTAAATGCTGTATTTCACCGCACTTAAAATTTTCAGAATATTGATTTATGATTTTTACAAAAGTTCATTTTTTAATAAATGATTACATTTCATATATTCAGTTATTCATAAAATGAAATTTTTTCTTTCATTAATAGTGGTAGTATATATTTGTTTCGAAAGAGAAGTGAGAATTAGGATTTGCCTGGGAATTGTAGCAATCTGTATGCAAGATGAAAGCAATTAAGAACTTTTCGGGAAACTAACGCTTGAAGGTCTTAGTTTTGAGTATTGAGTTGAAAAACAAGCTAAGTGGCTGAACTCAGGGGAGGGCGGATGAATTACAGCTATTTATACTATTGGGGAGAGTCAACCATTAGTTAACATCCGTGAGAACGGGTGTTTCGTTCAAGCCTTACTCCAGGGTCCTGTCCCCTCTGGCCGCTGAAGGCTATTTGGTTAATAAAAGACAGCTGAAAATTTCGGTCATTACTGATGATGGTCCATGTACAGACAGAAATAGCATTTCTTAACTTCTTAGTATTTGTGTGTTTTACATCTACCATGCAGTTTAAAAAGAGAACCCAGAAAAGTTTAGAGTTCAAACGTGTGTTTAGATCGCCCTTCCTTGTTTGTTTTTGAAAAAAGGCCCTTTGCCTCTTTTGCATATAAGTATTCATACATACAGATTTATTTAATTAATATATAATTTCATCAATGAATTATTAAAAATAGATTTAATTAACATTTTTTCTTCTTTTTTGGCCTAAGTTCAACGATACGAATAATGAATAATCCAAAATTTTAAACTTTTTCCAATAAAATTACATATCTACGTAGTTCGATTAAGGAGGCGAAACTCTACGATTATACGTATGATAAAAACATCATAAATTCAAACTTTGTCGCTGAGAATGGAAAATTTAAAATTCTGAGGAACAAGATTTTCCAAAATTAAATAATTTTTTTTTATTATTTTAAGCAGTGTCTTTTCAGAACTGTGCTTTTATGCATTTATTTATTTTTTTTTAAATTTCTTTATTATTAAATACTTCTTCAGACCAATAAGAGAAATATACAAATTTTCCCGAAATATGTTTTAATCTGTCAAAACAACTTTAAAAATTTGGTGTCCGGTCTTTAAACACAAAAATATATAAAATTTCCTTTTACGATTTAATGTATTTAAGGAATAAAACTTTAGTTTATGTAAATAATGAGAATAATATAATACGAAGAAATGAAAAATATAAGTGCTTTACAAGTAAATGAAATTGGTATATAATGCTTTTAACAGTACTGGTTTTGTTTTTTTTTTTTTTTTCCAGTTTCCGCTTTCCGAAATGTTTCATTAATTCCCCTTTGCTTCCGATTGCTCAACAAACGCCCACACGACTGTCTTTCTTTATGTCTCGTGTTCACAACGTCTGTTCCTGTACGATTAACATAATAACAGGACCGAGTAATTCTAAATTAATGTAATCTTCTTCTAAATTAAAATGTAATCTTAATTATCTAATTAAATCTTAATTCTAAATTAAAATGTAATCTTTAAAAAAAATTATACAAAATGAAATTTAGAATTGTACACAGCCCCTTAAAGAATAAAATATCATATATTTCACATCTACGGCCTAGAAACAGCATCTACAGCTTTACGGACTGGGAATATCATTTTACGGATTATTATTAACTAGGAGTATGATATATACGGCTTTACTAATTGGGAATATGATTTGGCCTTTACGACGAACTGTTAAAAAATAATCGACGTAACCGTCTACATTGATAAGCATAATGCACAACAAAGACCTAGTTTAAATTTATATGTGATTATCCACATACACAATCGTATGATTAATTCTATTCACTTTAAGTATCTTTTATAGAATATTTCACATTTAGTACATTTGTATAACATATTTCATTAAATGTAAGGCAACTTTCTTATGTAAAAGCTAAATAATGTTCATTAATTTTAAAAGTTATATAAACTTGTGGTGATATTTATGATATGACACTAAATAGTTTGCTATAAGATTTGGAAAAATAAGAAAATAGCCATACATTTTCTAGAAACATTTAATTTTTTCTGGAAACATGTTTACTGGAACATTTTTTCCAGGATAATTTTTCAGGGACATTTTTTTAACACCGTGCGTAATAACACTGCGTAATAACAGTACCGTGTGCAATAAATTTTCGTAATGTAATGATAATTTTTATGAAATAATACAGTTGTCCATTTATCCGCACTTCCTGTTATCTGAGGTAATCCACATTACCTTAAATGATTGAATTCCACACATATGATAAGAAAACCTAATTAAACAAAACTTAATTATTAAAAGACTTAATTACTAAAAAACCTACATAAAATATTTATCAGGACAGAGAATAATGCATATTAATTAATTTTCAGGTTTAAATAACACTGTCTTTCATGTTATTTTTTCCCGTGCAATTCCCGTCTGAGTTATTTATTCTAGCTGAGTACTTCTTTCTCTTCATCATTGTCTCGGTCCTGTTATTATGTAAGAAGTATTTAAATTCTTTATAAAAATGCACTAAAAATAAAAATTGTTAGCAAATAAACGCATTGCACAATTTACATACTACATTTACATATAAATATATGTAAACAACATGTCTAGAAATTTAATTGCACACTTTCGACACGTACATTTCGTTTCCATAAAGAGTGTAATCTCTTATCATATGTTTCTATGTTTACACAATAGGCTAGGTTGTTTAAATATGGCAAGGCACACAAAGGCTATCAAGCTTAGAGAAAGGATGCCTGCGATGAGGGCTTTCTCGATACCAACCACGAAGCCAGCCTCTTTGCCTGAAATGGCACTGCGTTCAAACTCCTAGCATTCAGCGATTTTAACCATTCGGACCACTAATAGGGGTCATGATTACAGTAAGATTAAAGATTATAATTTATAAATTCGAATGCTTTGCGAAACGTTTGTTCATATAAAATTAAATGTGAAACAAAAACAAAAAGATTCAATAAAAAATGAAAATGCGTCAAAAAACGTGCAGAGTGACTTTTAGATTTAAAGCTCATAGCTCATTTCTGATTTTCCTGGTAGACTCAATCTTAAGTTTCTCAAGTAAATGGTTTTCTTATAGTCTTATAGTATGATAGTGGCTGTGATCTACATGCATCTGGTACTCGCTGCTCGACAATACGTGGATAAATATCGATAGAGACCTCGAGATACGTAATTAATAAAGTACTTCTGATAAAACTCAACATTCAGATCATTACAATAGACCAGTTGTACAAAAAAATATGACACGGAAGGCTTTTTACCACTTTACTTAGAGTATAATATGCTTATATAAGACATCTCTATAACTAAAACTTGGATGTTGGATTGCTGTATTTTTTACTCTTTTTATTTTAATTCTACACAGATATTTTTATTCTAACTAGACTCATCTCTCTTTCTATCTTCATTTTACTTCTAATTGTTTATCATAAAATTTCAGTCTAATAATTATTTTAAGATTCAATTACTATCTGATATTTGATTTAAAGATCTTTTTCTTTGGGTTTGAACCATTTTAAAATAATTAAATAATTTATTCCGATTTCAAAACTCTGTTTACTAGCTTTTCTCAGTAAAGATGCTAATATTCGTTACCTGAAAGGAACCTCGAGTTTAATTTTTATTAAATTTTTAATCTGTTCCAGCACTATATACAAAAACTGCTCATTAGTTTTAAACTAGCAATAATGATTCCAGATACACTAAAAATAAATCAAATTGTAAATTGCTTAGCTGACATTTTTCAGTTCACAGAAATTTTCCTGGTGTTCAACTACTAATAAACATATACTAACTGTGTTCAATAATGGAACACCTGCTTATTTTTACTTAACAAACTGTAAAACGTCATTTGAACCTGAAGGGGGAACAGGTGGCTCCTGCCTCGAGAAAACCATTGTTTGACAATTAGGTAAATAATGTATGTCTGATGCTCCAAGTCTTAGTTGTACCTGAAACTCGGAAACTTAACTGCATTTTCTGTCAGAGAAGCCAACATGCCGTTACACTATATCATCAGCCAAAAGAACCGTAAACAACTTATGGTGAAAGGATACATCTATAATTTTGAACGTGCTAGTGCTGAGAAAAGTATTTGGAAATGTGTAGAGTATTTTACTTGTAAGTGCAAAGGGCGAATTCACACTCAAGATGATAATATCATTCTTGAAAAATCTCACGGGCATCCTCCAAATGCTGGCAAAATTACAGCGAAAGAGATTATGAGTTCAATTAAAGAGCGTGCGGTAACAACGCAAGAATCGACACATTCTTTAGCAGCAGTTGGTACAATTGGTCTTCCTTGTGCTGTTTCGGGGCATATACCACCAGTGGAAAATATTAAAAAAATTATCAGATATGCTCGACACGGAGAAATGCCATTGCATAATCCTAGATGTCTTGAAGAATTAGTAATCCCAGAACAGTTTTCAAAAACACTAAAAGAAGAGAAATTTTTGCTGTATGACAGTGGAGTGCAGACAGACAGAATTCTAATTTTTTCGACCCTCAGAAATCTGGACTTCATGGCTGAATGTCCGAACTGGTTTGCTGATGGAACTTTTAAAGCAACACCACCGCTTTTCAGTCAGATTTATACAATCCATGGTGTTAAATATGATAATGTGATACCTTCAGTGTATGTATTAATGCCAAACAAACGCGAAGAAACATACAATAGAGTGTTTACGGTGATAAAATCTTTGAAACCGAATCTGCAGCCCAAAACTGTAATGACTGATTTTGAAAAGGCTGCCATAAATGCCTTTAAAAATTCCTTTCCGAATATCATTCAGAGAGGATGTTTTTTTCATTTAAGTCAGTGTGTGTATAGAAAGATTCAGTCTGCAGGTTTGCAAAGTAAATATGAAACTGATCCGAATTTCGTTTTGGAAATCTCTCAACTTGCAGCTTTGGCTTTCGTTCCTACTTCAGATGTCATTGAAGCATTTGAACAATTAATATCATCTACTTATTTTGTAAATAATATGAACATCATTCAGCCAATCATAAATTATTTTGAAGACACATGGATTGGTAGATTTACTCGTCGTGGACAACGTCGCAGACCAGTGTTTGACATCTCTCTTTGGAACTGTTATGATGCTGTAAAAGATAAAGTTCCAAGGACAAATAATGCGGTTGAAGGATGGCATCGCAGATTCAACGAACTTATGAACGGATGCCATCCAACAATCTGGAAATTTATTGATTGCTTAAAAAAGGAACAAAATTTAAATTCTATAAAAATTGAACAATACATTGCAGGTCACCATCCACCAGTAAGTAGAAAAGTTTACAGAGATACATCTCTCAGAATTCAAAAGATTGTAAATGATTATAATGATCGGCCTATTTTAGACTATTTAAGGGGAATAGCCTACAATTTTCAACTGCAGGTGTAAATTTTTTATACATTAATTAATGAGGATGTTTAATGTCTGATATAATTATACATGTTTTTATTACTACAGCTTTAACATGAGTCGTAATTACATTATATTTTCTGAAAAATATTAGGCGAACTTTTATGCTCTTAGAGTTGATATTTACAATTATACTAGCTTTCATGAATATATGTGAATGATATTTTACTCCATATAATGTGTTTTATTTAAGCCTCTTTGGTATAATGTGTTTTATTTAAGCCTCTTTGGTATAATGTGTTTTATTTAAGCCTCTTTGGTATACACTCTTTGGTAGTATAAATCAAATTTTATTTCATCAGAGAAATTATGAACGACAAATGATGATGCCTTGTTCGTTTAAATATCATTTATTAACTGAAACGGTATGCGAAGCTAAAATTTATTGGAGATTTGGTATTAACAATAACGATATTTTTGAAAAATTCCTATCAATTAAAATTTTATTTCGTTTCATTTTTCATTATTCATTAATTCATGTTTGTGTGAGAAAAGGACTTTAGAGTATTTGTTTACAGTGGATAAATTTTTAGCTTAATAAGCTATCTATATTTTAATAAAATTCAGTAAATTCAATACCATTGTGGATGCATATAAGACGAAATTTTCAATTTCTATTCCTTTCTGAAATCATCCTGATCAGGCAGCTTAATTTTAAAGAATACGTTTAAGAGTATTTTTTAACTCGTAAAGCAATGGGAGATATATTTACTTAATTTTATCTCAAATAATAAGATTAGACTTTTAATGGCTTTTCTTGTAACTTACTTACTTGATATATCAAACTTATATACGTGGGCACATCTTATATGTAAGCCCCTTTTGTCTTTCTGAAAGATTCTTAAAAGACAAAACTTTTTCATATATGACACCATTATGTTTTGAGACAATACGGTATTTTATTGCGTATTTCTGTATATTTAAAAGGGGGAAAATTTGAAAACTGAGGTAAGAGATTTGCTTTTAAATCCCTAGTCATTTCAATTTTGATCAATACTGATTATATAACATAATTTTAAAAATAATTTATTATATGACAGTAATGTAAATTTAACGTTAAAAATCCTTAACAGCAGTTTTTCATTTGCTAAATATAGAATGATATATAAATGGAAGTTTTATTTGATAAATATGAAAGGTATTTTAGAGAGTTTCATGTTTTTCTGCAATGGGTAACACTATAAACATCGGTCTTTTGCTACAAAAATACATTCTCAAAATATGCTTATGGTTTTCCATGTATAGCTTATTCGCAAATATTTATGAAGCAATATTAAATATTAGTTCTAACTTAGGCGGAAATTTCTGCTATGTTTACAGTTTTCTCGCGCTCCTAATTTTTTAAATGTATACAATGAAGTATTTATTATTTAATTAATTTTTTATAACTGCATTAATAGATGGTACATTATTTGCAAAGTTTTGACATGATATCACCTTTTTTACGAAATGAAGGAAAGTAAAATTATTGTTTATTCTTAAGCTACAAATTTTGAACAAGGCTGACATATCTACGCTAAATTTTATAATGGTGCCATAAATATTTTTCATTATTCAATAACAACTATAAATTTTTATAATTACTTAAAAATCGTAAAAGAGTGGATTATAAAGCACTGTGTTTAATAAAAATAATATAATATTAAGAATGGCAACTTTTGATTAAAATATAGATTCAAAATATTATTTCCTGACGCACTGCAAAATCTGAAAGTAGCACAGTCTATTGTAAACGAATTTTTCAGGATGCACTTTTGGATATAATTTGATCTGAGAAATAAACATTAATACAAGGTGATTATGTAATTCAACAAACAATCTCTATACTGCTTCATAAAATAGATAACTTATGATGGGAGTCTTCTTTTATAAAATACTGTGGTTTAATGTTGCAAACGAAGTTTCAGCTTAAGTTTGGAAATTAATATAGAGGGAAAGTTAAAAAGAGTCTTTCAAAACTAACAAGTTAGCATATGAATAGCATTAGGGAAGAATATAAAACACATTTCAGTATACATTCAGTATTTATTTCACAATAAGGAAACATTTTTCACTATATAAATAGCATAAGGAAATACTTTTTCAGTATATGAATGTAAAAAAAACTTTTCAGTATATATCCAGTACTTATTTCAGTATAAAAAAAACCATTTGAGTATGTAAATAGCATAGGGAAAGAATTTTTCAGCATATGATTCATATATATATAATCAAATTTCAAAAATAACATATTAATAAAATAAAATAAACAAAAAGAAAATTTAACAAAAATTCGTAAAATTTAAAATGAAATTTAAATTAATTGCAAACTATTGCTGCGAACTAATCTACAATATCATTTAAATTCTGAGAGCATATATAAATTACGTGAAAGTATCAAAATCCATGAATAAATATATAATTCCAAAAAATTTTTTAATCCTAAAAAAATTTTTAAAATGTATAAGTGAATAATTGTTGAGCAGGCAGGAGACAAACTTATCAAGGGAAGTTGCCTCCAAACCTAACTCTTCAATTATTCAATTCGTGTTTCGTCATCCATGTATTCAGAATTTAAATGATATTGCAGATTAGTTCGCAGCAATAATTAATCATTCATTTGTTTACAATTAAATTTCATAATTTAAAATTTAATTAACTTTAAATTTGCTTTTTACGAATAGAGAATGTTTGTTAAATTCAAATTTCATTACTTAAATCAATGCGCAAGAGAATTATTTAAATTTAATTTAACTTAATGTTTATTAAAAGTAAAACTATTATTTAACTAAAATATTTATTCTTTTAATTAAATTAAAAATGTATTTTTTATTCACGAGAGATGCCTTTGACAAATTTTTATGTCTGTTATGGAACTTGAAGGGCATCAAAAGAACTTTTGAAATCTGCACTGAGATTGAACTTATTGAGATCTGTAGTTTTCAAAGCTTTATTTTTTTTATATGAGATAAGGTTGGTTTGTGTAAAAAAAAAAAAAAAAAAAAAAAAAAAAAAAAAAAGATCTAAAATGAGAAAAGATATATATTTTTTTTACTTTTCAAACGAAAATATCAAATGCTCCTCAGCTGACTACCTCCTATCCAACCTTTTTCACATTTTATATGATTTTTAAAATTATTTGGATGATTACTCCAGGAACCAAACCTTTTTTAGTAAGATCGGTCAAAAGTACGCAATTTGTCTAGTAATTTAATGAAAAAAAAAAAAAAAAAAGAAAAAAGAAAGACATGAAAGAAAAATAAGATATTTACACCAGTTTTTTTTTAAAAATAATATTGTAATTATTTAGTAAAATCATATCTTCTTCTATAATGCATACCACATTACTTCATTTTGTTTAAATTGTAGAAGATATTAAAGTTAAGTAAAAATTTCAAATTACCTTCGAATGCCACTTCCAGATACTTTTACAACAGGTAAACGAGTAAACAAAAAGTTAACATTTCTAGTCTCCTCTCCTGAAATTAAGCTCAAACTCTATACATAACTGTAAATAAATTAAATGAATATTGTAGAAAAAGTAGAAATCTTCTTCATTAAAATTTCTGAATTTATGTGTTCATTGATACTGGACTATCAAAAATGCAAATTGTGTGTCTTTCAAATTGCAAATTCATAGATATGCAAGAAATTCATATTATATTTAATTGTAGGGAGTTATGAAAACTAGCATTATTTTCAGTCATAAATGTAAAGACCTACATTCATTTAAGTCAATCAGAGTTTTTACGTCTGCTTTCTAAACATTTGTCAATAAAATAAATATAACTCAAATATTTTTATATACAAATCAGAAAGACCTTACACAAAGATATAACCAGATAGCCATTATCTATACTGTTTTAATGATTTGAAGCATCATAATATGCATTTTTGTAAGACTCATTTGATAACACTGTAGTTAGCTAGGTCATTAGTGAAACAATCATAGATGACTCAATGCTAAAGAAAAAGATGCAAGAATTCTGAATACAGTTGAGAAAATTCATAATTATCTGATTGTTTTATAATTCTACATTTCCTATGAGCTATAATTTTTATTGCAATTCTTACCCATTACAATTAGGAATATATTAATCCTAGAAGCATTTGAACATTCATTTAAAAGAAATTCAAAACAATTTAGAGAAACTACTATTTTCTACTTTTATATATGTATTAGTTTTCAATAACAAGAGGATTTCCCAAAAATTTTGGTCCAGTTTAATGCAAAATTAGAGCACAAAATTTAAATCATATTTTTCGTATAAATATCCAAAAATAATTCATTTTATGATGAAACTGAAACATTCGAAGTTTATTGCAAAAGTTGCCTTCAAGAAGCAAAATGATTGTGTCACAGTATCAATGCGAATTCGTAAATATTACTAAAATGCATTACTATAATATGTAATATAATAAGGACTAGTAAATACGGACAATATACAAAACGAATAAGGACTATATGTAGTCCTCTTAACACGCACCATCACCACTACACTTTATATAAAAATTAGTCATATTTTAACAATAAAACGAAAAAAAAAAAAAAAAAGTTTTTTTGAGCAATCCAGCACTCAAAAAAGCATGTGATTCGATTTTATACAAGTATATAGTATGAATCATAGCCAACATGCTAATTAAGCCTTACGTGAATATTAAAAAGAACACATATCGAAGTATAAAAAATGGCTAACTCCATGAAGTTATAAACTTATATGCAACATTTTGTTCTTTTTGTTACATGCAGATGCAATAATGAACATCGTAGTAGAGTTTTTATGGCTGGGAAAAGAGGGAAAAGAGATAGAGAAGCTTTTTTTTCCCTCCCTGTGAAGTGTAAGAGGAAGAAAATGTTTAACGTTGAGGTGAGGTAAAGAAATCCAGATAAGCAATTAGTATATTTGTTGTTTACAGTGGTGTACATAGATAAACTGAATTCTACATTTACCTAATAACACACCTCTCATTGACTCAGCTATTTCACAGTATATCTTTGCTTATTATTGTGAACTGAGAAACTAAAACTACAGTTAATTACAGATGAAAAAAAAAAACAATAAGGTTTGTAAAATTATTAAAACAAAAAGATAATTTTGTTTGATTTAAAACGTAAACTATGGAAATTAACATGCCTTCTTTCAAGACATCTTTTTCCAATAGTTTAATGCCTAGACGCACTAAATACTTTTTACATTTTTTTGCACTAATACATTTTTTTGAAACAATTTCTTTCTGGACACTTTAATTAAAAAATAATCATGCACGAAGCGAACCCGGATTTTAAAGTATAATTATCATTGATATTCAAAATCATATGTTTCTAAAGCATATATGATTCATAAATATGTATTCATATGATTCATAAAAATGTTATATTTTCTTATTCCAAAAAATTTGTCATATAAATACAAAAAGAAATTGTACTTGAAACGTTTCAGTCAGTGAAAAGAAAAGACAATATAAAATATGTACAGTTTTTATCCTTGAAATCTATATAAAGGAAATTCGATTAAGTTTTTATTTCACTAAATTTTATCTTTAATTAAAAATCTACAAGAAAAATTAGTCGCTTCAAAGTTGCTAGGCAAAGAATCGCTACAAAATAGAATCTCACTCAGAAATATTAATTTTAATTTCGCTACAGATTTTTGGCGAGCATAATTTAAGATATTCTGAAAATTAAGAAATACCGAAGAGAAAACATTCAAAATTGTCTTAGAAAGTTGGCCACTGTAAGTTCAACAAGTAACTACAAAATTTTCGAATAAAATGTATATATGAAAAATTAAATAATACTTTTAAAGTGCTAAATAAGAAATGTCTATGTCTAAATCTAAAAGTAAATGTAAGCAATCCTATTTAAAGCGACTACTCAAAATTCCATATCTTTTTAATCTTGAGTGAATGTGGTGAACTTGCGTAATGATTAAAAACCAATGTTTATTATTCTCAAAAACACTGTTCGTCTTAGAGGGAGATAGTCAAGAATGTTCACTGCAAGTATACATTATTTCTAAAAAAACAAACAAAAAAAAAACAAAAAAAAAAAAAAAAAAAAAAAAAGCTGCATGAAGATTTTCGTGATTTTCCTAAAGTATAATGTGCATATGAACCAGTTCCTGAGAATGTACTCCACAAAGGAATCCCAACCCCCTTAAGCAGATAGCCGTAGTGTGCTTTGGCATAATCTAATAAATCTAAATCCTACTGAAATATTATGCATAGCTGACTGACTTTCTTCATAATTAACAAATCGTCATTCAAGTAACTGTCTGCACGCTGTGCATGGAAATTTTAATGACATTTTAAGAATAAACTGAAACAAAACAAGAAATAACTTTCGCTATAAGAGTATTAGACTGTTAAATAATAATTTAATCCTAAAAAAAATTAATTTTTTCTTAGTGCCTATATAACTGCCTAGTTAACTATTCACTGATTAATACATATTCTACAATTTAGTGCCGACTGAAATATCCAGTATACAAAACTAATGTCTGAATAGCTCAATATCATAAATACACCAGCTTTAAAAAAGAGCATAAGTGCGGACTTGAGGAAGCAAAGAGCTCTACAGAGAAGATTACTCTAAATATTATCTGCAGTGGTATCATTTGGCCACTGCTTCATATGCAACTGGATGCTATTTACTTTTCTGCATAATAGAGTTATTGCAACCCTTTCTCTGCTGTGAGTTATTCGCCCAGTTAAAAGAAAGTGTGAGACAACAAGTGACAAATGTGAGCACAATTCAGTGTTGCCAACTTTGAAAGATGAAATTATGGATACTAGATTGTAAAATTATGACATTAATGTAAAAAATATGGTACAAAATGTTATTATTTGAATAGGAAAAAAATTTTAATGCAAACAGTAAAAATCTCTGAGAACCAGTCGAATTTTTCTGTGGTTCAGTGGCAGTTGAGAATACCTGTTCTGGATAATTATTTACACTTTTTAAGAAAACCAAGATTCTAAATTCATGCCCTCATAATTTCACCTTTTGAATACATTTGTAAATATGCATATTCAGACTATTTGAAATTTAATTTCTTTGAACAACTCTAGTTTTTTTTAAATATGCTACTATATCCCAGTAGTTTATTATTTTTTGCTACTCCATATACTATACATACCATGCTTGTTAACTTTTATAGCCTGCTGCATTTTTAATATGTAGTGTTCCAGTAATTTGAGTTAAAATCATGTTTTACTGTTGCATTACTCTTATTATAATCTTATTAGAATTAATATTATTGGTAACTTTCACCAGTGTTCTTATTATTAAATAGGATACTAGACAAGATTTTTGACATGTAGGGTGACAAAATATAGAAAGAAATCAATATTTCAGAACTTATGTGTTTTTCTTATCTTGGTGTATTGTTTAAACATATGAAATGCAGATGACCATAAAGAGCATTCCATGTGCTTTACAAGTCTTGAAAGTTTTGTGACTGATTATCTACCATCATGATTTAAGCAAAATCATTTAATTTTGCTATGCTTCTCACGTGAAGGTTTGGCTATCATTTGTGTGTAATCATTAGTTTACTGGTGAGAAGGCTAAAATAATAATTTATAGTGTATATTTATACATAGTACCATTTACAATGTGTTTTTTTTTATGTTATTTTCTTTTAGAAAATCAGCTACTGGTGCTTCTGGTTCAAACATTCAAAGGAAATGGGGGAATTTTTACAAAAAGCCAGAGAATAAGAGTCAAATTAAAGAAACTAATCCTGATAGCAAAAATAGTGAGCAGTCTATTGTGTCTGTGCCTAGAAATAAGACTGTATATACTAAACCCAAAATTCAGAGAAATGTCTTTATTAGAAATAAAGATGTCACTGTGAATATTGAGGTAAACCATTAAGAAATATCATAACTTTTAAAATGTTTGTAACATATTTTTTATATAAGTGCAGATTAACTGAAAGAGAATGCCTCTTTCAGTTAATTTGCACTAATTTATAATTTTTTAATAAAAAATGTTATGTTTGAGAAAATATATTTCTTCAAACCTGTTAAATCTGTCAAAATTATTCAAACATTTAGAAATCACGGAAGTTTCTTTTATACCTAGGTAAGTTTTGACCTTCATTTAATGCACTGTAGATCTTGAAACTATTTGATCTTGTTTCAAGTCCTTTAAATTATTGTTACAATTTTGATGATTGCTGCAGTCGTTACCAAAAATTCTGAAGATTATTTATGACACTCAGCATTTTTTATTCATTCCTGCAGAATAAATAATAATAAAAAAAATTGTACCATAATGCACTCTGCTGAATTATAAATATTTTGAAACTTCTCACTCACAGCCACAAAAACTGCATCACCATGTTTTTACATGCATATAATTTCAGTGTATTTAATAGTTTTGAAGTAATGCATTTGTATATAAATCTGGCATTTTATTTCAGTGATCCTGTATTTACTGACTTTCTTTTTCCCTTGTATTATTTTTAATTTAAAGGCAAAGATATTTTCAATATATGTGTTCATCATGTCCCAGAAAATAAGCACCAGATGCTAGTAAGTTATTCTGTAGGCTAAGGTAAAGAAAACAAAAATGTTACATTAATGTATAGGTTTATGCAGTGTATGAGTTGGAAGACAAAGGAAAACTGGTGCGTGTGAAAGATGTAAAATTTTTCGTATGGCACATGAAAAGAGTAACAGAAACCTAAACTCAAGATTGTCCAAACTTCACATTAGTAGAATCCATATGCTAGATTTAGAAACATGCAAAAGCCACAGTTGAAATTAATAGGGTTATATATATATATATAATTTTTATTGAACCTGCTATGTATTGATTAAAGTATAATACATTTTTTATGGTGCACAGAATTTTTTTATGATGTGTAAACTTTTTTGTAGTTAAAAAAAAATGCATTTTTTCCGAATCCAAAATCCACAATTTTATAAATGATATTGGCAGAAAGAAGCTGAAAATAGAAGAAAAGTATAATTTTTACAATAATATGAAAAGCTTTTGAAAGAATAATAAAAAATAAAGTGCCTTTTTTTAAAATTTATGCTTACTTTCTGTCAAGAATGAAATTAGTTATGATGGCGCAGCATGCGTCGCTGAGAATTTGTGTTTAAATCAAGTATTTAAAAATAAACTATCCATTTACCAGATCTTTTATATAAAAATAGTAGTTTTTGTTTGTAGTACCCCTAGTTTTGAGGTATGTTGTAGCAATACTGCTGGTTGTTCTGCTGTCCCAGTCCTCTATCCAATTTCACAAGGGAAGCGGCTTTGACTGTATTGTAACATGATATGCCAAATGGTCTTTCTCTGATGGTGTTTGATTAAATACAGTAAGCACTGCTCACATGGGCAAAAGTTCTTAAGGAAGGTATTCTATTACATAAAATTTTCTCTGAACCATAGAAATGATCTTAATCTGTTATTTTTCATTCAGCTTTTAGAAGAATGCTGCTGCTTCTGATACAGTTCTGATTTTGTTAATTATGGTCATCTCTGTTTTAACTTGCTTTGCTAAGTGCATGAATTTCTGTAGAATCTTTCTGATTAATCTACAAGGGCTTGAGGTTGGAAAATCTCCTTTCCCTTGAGGACTTTTGTGTACAATTAATAATATTAGGAATGGAAACTTTTCCACCATCGTTCATCTGAAAAGTTTGAAGAAATGTCTATTCTGAGCCAGAAACCTTGTTTTTTTATTGAATTTATCCTTTGGACATCCATTATATGGTGCTGGGTGAGAACCTGCATTACATTTTATGCAAAATGCTTTTTCATTTAAGTTACATTCATAGGAATAATGTTCTTTCGAGTTTCTCACACGTCAGGGGTTTATTGTAACAGTCACTTTGAGTATGTTCATATCTCTGAGAGTGGGAGTACGACCATAGCCCAGGATGAGATTTGAAACTTTCAACGGAAATTCTCAAGTAAAATAGTCTTGTGATGTTTTAGATTTCTTTACCTTCGACATTACAAAGATCTACAGAGCAGATCAGTATCGGTTGGATTACATTGTCTTTCATTCTAGTGAAGTGCTTGACCTTATTGATACGAGTCTTTGGTATGGAGTTGTTCATTTAGTAGATAATCTACTCTGATGTAATTTTGAGGCCTTTAGTACTGCGTTTAATTTTGAGGCATTTTAGTACTTTAGTAGTCTTGTTGCTTGAGAGATAAAAAGTGTGGAAACCAAGTCCAATTAGAAATGAGCAAGACCATTTTTTAATAGGATCAGATCAGAACTGTTTGCTCACTGAACTGAATCAGTTGTTCTATTACTTGCTGCACGGGCCCACCAGCATCCAAACGGTAACGTTGCTGAACACTGGTAGTTTGGTCCGAGGTTCGAATCCCGCAAATGGGCTGGCTGCATGGGCATTTTCGTGGTTTTCCCCATGTGTAACATGTATATGAGCCAGTTCCCATAGAAAGTCCTCCATGAAGGCATCCCTCCCTTAAGGCAGATAGCCCTCGAGTGCTTTGCCGTAATCTAATAAAACTAAACCAAACTAATTACTTGCTGCATAGTAACAGTAATAAAAAAGATCAGGAACGAGGTGTGACTCGAGAGAAGTTAGTGAGGATGGCGTAAAATGTTTAGAAAAATCAAGCAGTAGGACCAGGAACAATTAATGAGGTTGAAGCAAAAAGAATCCTATGAACAGTGGGATCAGAAGAATCAGCTCAGTGAAACACCATCTGCCTGATCTAATTTCTTTCAACTGTATTTCTAAAATTCCCCGAAACTTTCTTTCTGCAAAGAACTAACAACAAAATTTGTTATGTTTGGAAATGATAAAAATTAAACTTTCTTTTAAGATGAGAGGATAAATAGTCATTTCTTCCCTAAAATGGGAATTGTACTTTCCTGGCATGCTTTCAACAAGAGCTTTCTGATGAACTCTAAAACAGCTCTCCTCTCCCCCCCTCCACGAATCACATGTTCATTCAGTGAAGTTATTCAGTTTGGGAACAAATAGCACATTTCTAATCCTAGCATACTTCCATTAAAAGCTAATCATGAACTGTAAAAATGTTCCCACTCTGTTAAGTAGAATTACCCATTATTTCCTCAGTGAAGTGAATTGGCTCTTTGAATCAGTTTTGGAGTAAATTGTCCAAGTTCAGTATTTTATAAATATTTGGTAATCACATGGTAAGTGTGTGAGATCATAGTGTGTACCTCACTCTACACTCCTTTAACCTGCTATTATTATTATTATTATTATTATTATTTTGCAAATTGCAGTTAACTGCTCGTAGCATTTTCCAGTTAACTTCCATGGCTGTAAGTATATGAGTAGTATCTTATTGAGTTTAGCTGGAGGCAATCCTGTCTTGGAAACCTCCATATGGTCAGCATTTCCATCATTGTCCATAAGTGATTCATAACAGTTACTGTTACTAAAAATTTCATTGTCAGAAGTGTTAGCAAGTCTCTTCTCTTTGCTGTTTTTCTTAATTTCTGTGAAGCATGTTCCTTTTTGGTGCATTTCTTTACCTGCCTCTTTTTTCAAGTGCCAGCTGGTTTGTCTAGGCATATTACTGAATGAAGATGTAGCTATTCAGTCTGTTTTGCCTGTTTTTAGTAGACACTGTAGATTTTGTTTGTTCCCTCAGTTCCTGCAATTCTTTAATGTGCTGGAGTCGAACTACTGCCTCATTCTTTCTAGAAGTTCCAAGAAATCCAAGAAAAAACGTTCTTTGATAAAACGTTTCTTCTTGGATTTTTTGCAATAATTTAAAAACGGATTTTCGTAGTTTTCTTTTTGTCTAAGAACTTTTCTTCTTAACACGTGTTTCTCAATTTGCTGTACACATCGCGGAGAGGGAAATTCTAGCTGCCAGGTTCCGCGCCAAATCCTTGGCAAATTTTCCCTCCGCTTTTTACATAACGTTTCTTGGTTAGAATAATCCCATGTATGGTTACAGCGGGATTGGCGACATGATGATGAGCAGTAAAACGGTCATTTTGTTCTTGCGACAATTTTCAAAAGCATCCGAAGGCCATATCGTATACTAGGATTTACCGCAAATCTTTTTCTTTCTTTCTTTTAATAAATACCTTGTCATGTTGCAGTAAAATAAAAAAATAGTAATCATCATCTAGGATAACCATGTAATATAACTATATTCGCTAAATATATTGATTATTCTAATTAAATTTTTAAGTAATTATCTTTATTTTTCTGTTATTCATATCATTTAATGTGCTTCTTCCCTCTAAAAATTATTTATCATTAGTAAATATTTCCCAAATTTCAGGAAATTTTCTCTGGCATAATCCTGAATTAATTCTAGCAGTATGATGACATACCATCATGAAATTAATGCACATATTTTTCCTTATGTATGCTGCGAAATAAATATAAAATACCTCATTTAGTAAAAAAAAATATCATTAAATGATTTCTTTCTTTCATTTAGTTGCCAAATGTCTGCAAAAAAAGCTTATTTTATTCCAGATTGGGCAGATTCTAATCTCAATCTTCAGTGGAGAAAAACAACTCCTATTATAATAATATTTGTGTTTCAAGTGTTTTAAGCTGCCTTTAAGAATACACCTCACACAAATTAAATTTACCTAAATCTAACCTAACTTTTAGCATTGTGTTGTGATTTATAAGAACCGGATTAGCCTCGTGTTGAACTTGGGATGATCATGAGTACTAATTAAATAAAACGTACGTTGTTATCCAATGTATATATCTTAAATTTTATTAAGTTTTTAAGCGGAAAAAGTAAACAAAAATTCAACAAAGTGTACCAAGAATAATTAAGAATAAAGCCTCTGGGATTTATTGAATAATTAAGTGAATTTGCTACACAGTACAAGTAATACCGTAATTAATTTACCTCTTAGCACAGCCAACGTACATTACGCGGATAAACTGGAATTTTCTTGAAACATACCTGGAAAACCTGGAAAAGTCAGGGAATTTCATTCTCCTGTTTGAGTGGCAACCCTGTGAGTGATTTCAGATCTGGGTTGTAATATTCATTTCATGCTACTCTGTTTCAGTAAGTGGTTATTGATATTGATTGTCATGTTGTTAGGTCCAGTTTCAAATTCTAAGATGTTTGTATTTATCTACCTCTTCTTGTGGGTAAAATAGAAGTCTAACCTTGTGGTGCATCATGGGCAGTATTTTTGGTTATGTCTGCTCATTTAAAAATGAAATGCGTATTAGTGTATTCCATATTTAAATAATAAGGCATCAAGGTTTTATCAATTAATGTTACAATTTCTATCTGTAATATCTGCTTCTTAAGAGAAGAATCAACTTTTATAACACCTGCTACTACAGGTGGTACTTTCATCTCTTGTGGCATATAATTGCTCATTTCTCCCCTTTATGTCTTTTGCAAGAAGCATGTATTGTTCATTTTATTTAACTATAATTTAATGCTATATTTTTATATTTGTTTTTGTTTTTTGAGCTGCAACTAATTTTGTACACTTAGAAAGTAAATGTTGTGTACCTTTGTTTTCATTAATTTAAACTTTTAAAAATACATTTTACTTATCTTACGGTAGTGAATGATAAAAATAGTCTAATATCTGTATGTATATTACCGTTGTGGCATATTTGTTTCTAAAACTTATTAAACCTTCTAAATACGAAGGCAATCCCTAAAAAAAGGGTCTCCTATATTTTTAGATATACAAAGAACCGTTTATTTTCTATAATTGCTACATCACTTTAAAGATTGAAGAATGCTTTATTTTCCAACATAATCGCCATTTCGGTCGATGTATTTTTGTAGACACTGGGGCAGTTTTACAATGCCCATGTCATACCAGCTTGCCGCCATGTCCTTCAGGAAGCGTTGTACCTCATCTTTCACTGTTATCGTGGATAATGCTTACACCCTTGCTCAACATCCCTCTTCTCTGGTTCTGAATTGCCCTTCTGAGTTTCTTTAGTGTTTCACAGTACCTGTCAGCGTTGACTGTTGTCCTAGCAGGCAGAAAGTCGACCAACAGTACCCCCGTCCTGTCCCAAAACACAGTTGCCATGACTTTACCGGCAGATTGTGTTTGCTGAATTTCGTGGTTGGACAAAGAGGGATGCCGCCACTCGCGTGACTGTTGTTTTGTCTCAGGTGTAAAGTGGAATGCCCAGGTTTCGTCACCTGTGACAATCGAGTCCCAGAAGTTGTCCTTTTCATCTCCATAGCGGCGAAGAAATTTGCGGGAAGAATCAATCCGTTGCCGTGTGTGATCTGTCAGCATATGCGGCACCCATCCTGCACACACCTTCCGATATTGCAATTTTTCCGTTAAAATCCTGTGGATGGTGCTTCTGGAAACCTCAGGAAGCAAAATGCAAAGAGCATCCAGAGTTATTTTCCGATCTTTACGCATGAGTTCCTCAACTTTCGCGATTGTCCTGTCGGCACTTGACGGCCTCCCGCTCCTTTCTTCGTCATGAATTTCAGTACGACCGGCTGTAAACTCTCTACACCACTTGCGAACGTTTTTGACATCCATGCATGATTGTCCATACACTTCTGTCAATAGGCGATGAATTTTCAACCGGGTTAATGACTTTTGCGTTAAAAAATCGAATAACTGCGCGCACTTCGCACTTGGCGGTAACGTTTATCGGGAGGTCCATTTCAAATGGCTGCCAAGCCAAGACTGAGCATCCGAGCGAAGTGCCTGCGTGCTTATGTGTTAGCGGAGAAGGCACCACTCACAACAGTGTTGCCAACAACCGTATTAAAACTTTCTCTACGTCCCCAAAAAATAGGAGACCTTTTTTTTGGGGATTGCCCTTGTATTTTTCATTAGATATATTGAAAAGTGCATAAAATGACCTTCCTATTTCAAATGTACATAAAGAGTCAACTGTAATATATATTCTTTTATGTTTATTTCAAGCATATGTTGTCTTCTGTTTTCTAATTTAAATGTACTTGATTTTTTTTTTTTAAATCTAGAATTCTACTTCACAAGAACCACCAAAGAAGAAACATAAACCCATTACTTGGCCATGAACAGTATCAGCCTTAAGATTCATAAAAGGCATAACAATTTGAGGGCCTTTGAAGTGTTAAAGCAGTGGTTCTCAACCTTTTTTGCTCCATGCATCCCTTTGAATGTTGCTAGACCTTAACCCTCCTTTCTCAAACTTGGAAAAAAATATGTAAATTTATTTCAATTTTGATTATTTTTTAATATTTTCAAAAATTAAATTACGAAAAAGGTATAGAAAATGTTGATAAGTATCAAAACATGAATAACAGTAATTTTTTATATTCATGGACTAAATACTTACAAATAAAGAGTTTACCTCATCCCTCCTGAAAATATGAAAATCCTCTCTTGTTGAGAACCACTGTGAAAATATTGTTACATAGTGAATTGTTGTCTTATGATAGATGGATTCATTTTTAACTTTTTGTTGTTTATGTACTTGGTTTTCATCATTTGTTATTTCATTTGCTGTATATAATGTCACATTGTATAGCTGTAGTTTTCAATATGCCTAAAATTTTTAATAATAAATGAATGTCAAAATATATAACATTTTTTAAGAGCTTTGTAATGTTTTACATCCATATGTATATAAACATTGCTTTTTCTACTACAGTGCAACAAAAAATCCTTTCCATGAACTGTCACTTTATAATGTTTTCTTAAAATTAAGGATTTTAAAATCAGTATCTTACATGTAAAACCAGTAACTTATATTTCCCATTTGGTAAATTGCTGAAATATGTAAAATTACTTATTTTGGGATAAAATGTTCTACGTTTTAAATTCAAAGCATACTTAAATACAGTAGTGAAGGTTATTTCATATATTAACTCTGAGTATTATAAAGCCACATATGAGAGATTCTGTTTCTCTTTTTATCTGAAATAATTTGAATCATTCCTTGATAATGCATTGATCTGAGTTTCACTTTTTAAAAATTTTGGTCATTAAAGTAAGTTTGTGGGGATTTAATGCTTAAATCTTGCATGCATATTTCCTAAATCTTTTAATCATTATTTTTGTAGAAAGGAGTATGCAAAAATGTCTGGAATTTGATGGTGGTTTTATAGAATATTATTTTACTTGTATAATAAATAATATTGCAGAGTAAACTGTGTTTTCAGTGTACTTTTTTCAAGAGATCTCTCTATACTGTGTTACAAATAGTGTTTATAGCATTAATACATATTTATTATAAAATTTCATCTGCGCTGTGAGTCTCTTTGGTTTGGAACAGAGAATATTGTGTTTTAATGAAAGATTCCTGTCACTGCAAGCATCATCTGTGCAAACAGTTAACGTTGCCATATGTAATCATATTTTGTCAAACAATTTTTGGCATTTGAAAGATAGAACTTAGATTACTTTAGAACATAGTATTGTGGAATTTGTAAAAAAATACCATTAATTACAAGGTGATCCACTGTCAAAGTTCTAAATAAAAATTATAAGAAACAAACAAAAGGAGAAACTATTACAAAAAGAATACTTCCTGATGTTTCAAAAGTTTTCGATCCAGTCGGAGTCACTTGTTTTATTACACTAGTTCCTAAATGACCGTGGCAGGAATGTTGGAAAACAGGCTTCATGGGTCACTAAATTACCTTTAGACATAGAAAATAAATTTGAAATTTGGAGAAAAAAGCATGCTGGTGTAGAAAACTTCAAAATTCCCCGAAGACTGCTGAGCCTTGACTTTAAGAATGCCAACCTAGCGTTACAAGTTTTTTTGTGATGCTCCAAAACTGTCCTATGCTACTAGTGTCTTTTTCCAAGTAGAAAAGGATAGTGAAGTAACGTGCCAGTTGATTCAAGTGAGATCGGAAGTCGCACCATTAACCTTTTCTTCGTCCGTAATGCGTCTAGCGCGTGTGAAACTTCTGCGGGGCGGCCAGAATGCATTTGAAGCATTCTTCTACATTTTAAAACTTTTAAACGTTTAAAACGCCTTTTTAATGCTATTTGTTTGAGTTTTTATTTTTGTTTGTTCTAATACCTCCTAGAGGGCAGTACTAATCAGGCATTCCATTTCTAATTGAATTTCCCCCCCCCCCCGGGTTTGTGAATATTTGCACCATTTTACATAGTGAGAGATCTTCAACATCTACTCAGCAGGAAAAGAGAAAAAATGAGGTTGTGAATTGGAAAGACAAGAAAGATATACATTTGATGAGTACGGTCCATAATAAACTATGATTGCTGTTGAAACACGAACAAAAAAAAACTGTAAAAAAAACCATAATTGTAAAAAGAATACACCCAAGGCCTGGATCAGATGTTATCAAATTAATCCTGCTGTTAGAAATAAGCAGAGATATTATTACTTTTCCATTATGCTTTATTTCCTTATAATTTTACTTAATATTCATTTATATCCATCCACTACGAAAGTTATGTATGTACAAAGAAAACAGTATTACATGCTGTGAAAAGCAAAGGGCCGCTGGGGAGAAATTTTTGCGGACAGGAGAGGACGGTAAAAGGGTTAAAGGGAACTTCAATTCCAAAGTTAGAGTTATTAGCCCGCACGATTGGTGTTAGGGTAGCTGTGTCAATAAAGGATTTTCACATGCAGGATGTATGAACATTTTGGTCAGACTCTATGGATGTTCTTCACTGGATAAAAAGGGAAGGTCAGTGGGTGACGTTTGTTTCTAATAGAGTGGAAGAAATAAGGGAAAGCTGGAGATACCCACTAAGCATACTGATCTCTGCCAACCTCCCATCATGAGGATGCTCATTGAGGACTCTCATCAAAGGACACTGGTGGAGAGGACATTTCTTGGCTTATAAAAGCAGAAGAAGATTGCCTAAAATTGGAACACCTTCCAAATATGGAGGTAAAAAGATCCAGATGGTATTTAGAGATTGATTAGAAAAAAAGAGTGTTTTGTAGATGACCATCAAAAATTCCATTTGCCAATCATACTTTCATCCAGGCATCCAGCTGTAAAAAACCCTCATTATTTATAAACATGAAAATTTAGGACATGCCAGAGTTCAGATGCTTATTCTCTCTTAGATATCTAAGAGAGAATTATTAGATTGGGAAAACTATTGAAAAATAATTGGATTCTGTATCATCTGCAATAGTTTTAAACAAAACCTATAACTGTATCAGGAGGACTTACTTCAAGATCGTTTAAGAGATGCCAGAATTTTTGAAATCGTAGGAGTATACATCTTGCAGTCCTCTCATTCTTAAAGGAGGGATAAAGGCATAGATTTTAATCTTGATTTCTGCATTTATTCAGATAATGGTTCTAAACTTCAAAGGCTTTCTTATGCTCTTAAAGAAAGTAGATTTAATGAAATTGAAGGACACAGGAGAGCGAAATCATATGTGGAAATTCGTGCCTCCTAATGCCCCCTGGTGTGGAGGTTTCTGGGAAAGACTGATTGGACATATGATGAGCCTTTTTGAGGAAAACTCTAAGAAAATGCATTCAGTCACGAAGCAATGAATATTATTCTGAGATTTTGAAGACTTAATTAACTTAATGTTTCGGAAGATCCCGAAGACTTGGAATATCTGACTGCAGTGTGCTTAAAAATCTTAGAAAAAGTCAACGTATTTGAGTTTGATAGCACAGAGGGAAATAAGTTGGAAGAAGAGATCTGCGCAACGTGTTAGAGTGAAAAGGGGATCTGAGAAAGCATTTTATTTAGAGCTGAGTATTTAAGGCAATTGAAATACCTTATACATAGAAAAGTAAATTAATTTGTTGGGAGATGATCATACCAAAAGACTGAACTGGAATTTAGGGTGAATTGTAAAACTCTATCCTGGAAAGGATCATTGTAAAAATAGCATGATTCCTTTTTGTGTCCTGTGAGAAAATTGTTTCCGTTGGAAGTGTAGGAAAAAGGAAATACAGTCAAAAGTCGTTAATCCGGACTCGTCGGGACTTCGGCGATTCCGGATTATAGGTCATCAGTTTAAATCTGGTAAAGATGGGCATGCAGGAAATTATAAAAAAAAAAATATAAAACCGTTAATTTATGAAAAAGAACAGGATGATCTAAAAGGTATCAAAATTTTACAAAAAAAAAAAAAAAAAAAATAAGCTTAATATTTATTGTTTAACTTGTAACATTTCTCTCACTGTAAGTGGCTTTATGTGAAATACTTTCTCTTTAATCTTATAATTTCTTCTTCAGTTACAAGTTATGTTCAGTCCTAAAATTCAGTGTTCGAGAATCCGACTAATTTGTCAATCGAAATTTTTTTTCAATAGCCTCTGTGTCATTTCGACTTTAATCAGAAGCGAATTAATATGTGAGGAATTGCTTTAAACATAATCACACGGAGTACATCGAGATGAAATACTACTGTAGTAGGAATTATTAAGAAAAATAAAAATAAAATATTTCTGCACTCTAAGGGAAGTGCTGACAATAAACTTCTAATTCATGGGATTACCGGGCTTTTCCCCCTTGCCTGCTGCAAAGCAGCGAAATGATAAATAGAATTTCGAATGGTTAGAGAAACGAAGATGTGCCTTTATCCATTTTTGCAAGGAGTACCACTTTTTCTTATGGACTTTGAAACAACTTTCGTTGTAGATACTTGAATATTGTAAATTATATCGGAAATCAATGTTTGGACATAATCGAAATTCAAGTTACTTTTAATAAAATGCTCTAACGTCTAAAAGCCGGATCCAATTCGCGAAAGAACAACGGTATACAACCTTCCTGAATTTAGATAACTTTTAGCTAGTTTATTATTTCCTGCCCTGATAAATTAACGTGGTAAGCGTATAACGTATATGCGCATGCGCACACACATATTCGCAGCTGTAAAGGTCTTATGCGCATGCATCAACGCGGCGCATGGGCGGGAAGTTTGTAGCTTTGAGGTCCGGATTATGGGTGTCCGAATTAACGACTTTTGACTGTATTTTTGTCCTCCTAACTTTCCTCCTTTTTCAGATTCTTATCGAATACATTCTTTACCTAGGTACCATTGGACACCCAAAGGTGGGAACCATGTCATGCCAATCATTTCTCCAGTGATACTGACAGTGGAGCCATGCTAGAGAAGACAACTTAGCCTTCCAGACTTTTCAACTTATGCTCCGACTTCTGGTTGAACATCAGAGCCTTATCATTAACATTATAGTAGGCTTATAAAACCAATGAAAGTGAATATTTAATTGTTTGAATTTCACCAAGAAGTTGCATAAAACTCAAAGTGGGGATTGTGGAAAATGGCCTCCAAAGAAAAATTTAAAAAGTAGACAGTTTTATTTTCAACAGATGTCGTGTAATGTTATGTCTTTTTTTATGTCATTAACACTGGCAATGAGAGTTCAGATTTCAGAAAAGATGTAAGGCATTGGCTGTAATTCTTTTTTGGTCATTTATTTTTGTGTAGATAAGCAATGTTTGCTAACTACATTTTGGAACTACTCATAATTTTTTTCCAAATATTTTTGGCGAGAAACTCCACAGTGCCATATCACTATCTAATTTTTTTGTCTACCTTTCGAACTTTAAGCCTAAAGTGTCTCCAAAAATGTGGTTTTCGCACTTAAGCTAAAAATCCGAAACAAAAACAAAAAATTTAGATAGCAAAAATGTAAATTTCACCTAACCAAAAATATTTTACAAGAATCCATGTACGCAGCGATATGTTTTACTTAAAAAAAAAATCTATGAACTATGCACACCTCGCTTATTAAATTAAAAATAAAAAATTTCAAAGATGCATGTAAAAACAAGAATTCTGTTTCAACTTTAAAAAAACATACAATTGCACAATCTAGGCACCGAAAGAATACGAAACCCCTCAACTTTATAAATTAACAATAATTTCAAAGAATGCCATTTACAGTGTTCTGTTTCATCTTTAAAAAAATCTACGAATGCAATTTAGGCACTACCACTAATCAACAAAAAAATAAATAAATTTCACACAATAAAAAACAACAACAATATAACGACAGAAGTTTCATACTAAAAAACAATGACATAACTTCTACAATAAGAAGAATAAAATAAAAATCCTTATCATGAATGAAATGCTTTTTTCGAACCAGCAAGCACCAATTCATGTCCACGTAATCACTACCGTATTTATATGACAGCCAGGGCACTATCCAGGAAT